CTCATGTAAAAGTGCGTTCTGTCAATCTCTTGGATCACCTGCAACATATCCATAATACGCTCAATCCACGAGTTCCTCCTATCGAGACTATTACGAAGCAGCGTTCTGCAGTCAATCCTATTCTCCATGACAAATTATATACTCCTGATGAAATATCTCCGCCTGCAGGTGAATGTGCCATGCCAATCGAGGAGCGTATTGCTCGTCTATGGCATAAAGATTTGACTTGGCGAAAAGTGGTTGTTCGTCTGGAGGGTGAAGCACATTTAAGTGTTATCGTGAGACGAGAATGGCTAAATAAAGAAGGAAAGCAAGTGATCGAACATTTATTAAATGAGCACGAATTCTAAATTAAGAACTATATAAATTCGTTATTAGTCATTATTGTAATATCAACAGACTATACTACTTTTAACTACAGTTTTAGTGAAGTAAAAGTATGAGTTCTTTTGTTTTGTTTTTGTTTTTGTTTTGTTTTTGTTTTTGTTTTGTTTTGCTAAGACTAATGTTATTGTTAAGCTAGTAATTTTACAAGTCGTAAGATACATATACGAGTATAATCTTTTATAATAAAAATCCTCACTCCTATACGTTGTATACTCCCTGAACATGTCCTTCCAATGTTAAAGGTCGATCTTGCAAATCTATTACGGTAACCCCCTCTGATCTCATATCAAAAGCCTTTTCCAACAATTTAAGGGCTTTGAACGGTTTGACTTCAGGACTAATAGTTCCAACCGTTATGTGGGGATACTTGTTTACACATGGGATACTATTAGGAGAGATATCTTTAACGGTAAGCGCCATAACTTCAGAGTCAAAGACCAACTTATCCAAGGTGATCTGCACCTCAGTGTTAACCAGATTATTCAAGCGGTTCCATTGAGTTCTCAATGATTGATTGGCCTTTACATCCTCCCTGTGGCAAAGAGTTACGTGAAGATTCTTGAAAATGCGGTCAGATTTAACCAGATCGTTAAACAATTTAGAATCGGCGTTCGGGTGTGTCGAGAAATACTCCCTAATAACGTCCTCTAGATCATCTCGGATTGGAATCGCATAATAAAACGGTTTTGCCTTTTTGATCGCCTTCTTAATAGATGGCTTATAACTTGTGACAGCTTCCAATACGTTTTCCAATTCATCGTCGCCTGGTTTCTTTACGTCAAGTAAAGGTTTCAATTTATCTATAACCGTTAGTAGACTTGTCTTTATATCTGATGTAATCTCAACTTCTATAACATCTTCGACCAGGTTGTCGGGTCTCTTGTCAGTATTTATCGGTTGGAATGTATTTAAGAAACTTTTGATAATTTTCTCATATCCTACATTATCTGTTGTAAGGGACTGGTGATTTTTGCCCCGGTTCCGGACTCTTTCAACAGTTATCTGGAAAACTTCGTCTTTTGAAGGGTATTTCCAGGTGATTGCAATAATGTGAACGTTTGGATACCGTACTCGCACTGCATCGATGAGCGTTTCTCTCAATTTAATAACGTGATTATTCCTGTAATGTGATGGACTTGTATTAATAGACATCCATAACTTGCAAACATCAATTATTTTGTGATCTCACCTGTCCGCTATGACAACCTCCTTTGTCTCAAACTCTGTCAAGATTGCTTTATGAAATTTTGATCTCGTCTCCTTTCCGGTAATGTTATCGTTTTGAACATGACCAAATCCAAACAAATGCGCCAAAGCCAGACAAAGGCTAGTCTTTCCTGTTAAATAAAATGAATATCACAGGTTTGAATATTTCAAAACTTGGGAAATAAAGCACCATTCA